TATATATATATATATATACACACACACACATGAATTTAACTTCATTATTTCAAAACTCATTCAATATTTTATGAATGTTCAATACCAGTAAAGGGATGTCTTGTAGTTCTATAACGTATACTGCAGGCCCTAATTGGAAAATGCAATTCTTTAGAAAGTACTGTGCTACAGTAACATATCCCCACATTATATATATATATATATATATATGCACACACACATATACACATATACACAGTTTACTGTTTTTCATTATAAAAAATAATAACATTTTGTTAATGGAATCATTCATATTCATTGTGGTTTATCTTTGGTATAATACCATTTCTTGACAATATAACTGACCTTCAATATATATATATATATATATATAAATATACCTTTGTGTATTAGTGTCAATCAGAGTTAATATTGAAAATTCTCATGTATGCATGCATGGAAATTACTTACCATCTGTATGTATATATATATATATATACACACACACTCCTTACTACCCATATAACTGATGTCTAATAATATTATTTATGTATTGCAAAAATTAGTAGTTTTTTTTTCCCTTCTTATCCAATTGCATTGATGCATATCCAACCTCTTTACTTGTTGTATCTTTTTATAAATATTATGTTTGATAAATTTTATTATGGTATATATTCCATACTAGCATTTTTACTTTTGTTATGTCTATATATATATATATATATATATACATTTATATACATTTAATCTTTGACGGATTTATTTGTTGCTTTTGTCACACAATTAGTAATAAATAATTCATCATTGGTCCTTTAGTCAAAACAGATCATGTTACATATGTTTGATAATATTTATAGCAAGCATTAAGTCTTCATCTCCTTTGTGTTTTATTTTTTTTATTAGATAGGATTGAATTAAGAAAATTTAATCTGTTAATTTAAAACAACTTTTTGTGTTATTTTTGAGACTATACTCTGCACTATTTTTATTTATTTTTCAGTATAAATTGTTGTTGTTGTTGTTCTTTTCGTTATTATTATTATTATTATTATTATTTGTTTTATTTAAAAAATAGATTTTTTTACAACAAACCTTTTTGAAGTTTCACTAGACTTAATTTACTAAATAATTTTTTTCACTTTACTAAATTGAAAAGGTTTATTTCAATATATTTGACATAAATATTTTACTATATTTGACTTATTGTGCTAATGTGTACGCTCTTTTACTTTTGTAAACTGCTTTAGATACTTATCTTGCATAATTTGGAAGATTGTGAATGCTTCTATTTTATATGATTCTGAATTGAGACTCTAGATTATGTACATACATACACGCATACACCTCAAATTGATATATATATATATATATATATATATATGTATGTATCTTCTATTGACCTACATCATCTAAAGCACATAAAATGTTGATACTCTTGTTGATAAAGTTCTGGTTTTTTTATTTACATCTTCGAAATTAAACAACATTAAAATTTAGGTATTTTTCATTTCTTATCCCTATCTCTTTCCACTAAATATCAATGTTTAACTTTGGTTTTGCTTTAGAATAAAAAGGTTTCTTACCTAGTCTTTAGAATGACATTATTATTAGAATTGTAATATAAACACTAACATTCTAATTATTGGATTCATTTCTAGCTCTCAACCAAATATTACTACCATACACACACACACACACACACACATATATATATATATATATATATAGAAACATTAAAAGAAACACAAAGAGACAAGGTGAAATGCTCACAGGTATTGGAGAAACTGTTGTAGGTAAAGGAATCCAGAAACTTCTGTGAGAAGTTGTATGCAGGATGGAAGAAGAAGAAGAAGCAGAAATAGAAGCACCAGGCCTTACTGCAATAGCCACCATGAAGTAAATAAGTGATTGTTGCACACACACTTACTCTCTCAACTCAACACACACTTAAACACACACCCACATCTGTGCACAAAGCTTCCATACAACAATGGATAACTGTTATATGTTTGCCAAACCCAACAAAGCATCTCAACCCTAGTTCTTTAATCACAAGGTAGCAGCACTTCTACCTGGTCCCCACTGATCATTACTTTTGACAATCCTTCTTGAAAATAATTGTTGGTTATTGATTTATGTTCTTACTAAGATGAAGCAAATTAAGACATAATCCAATATAAGGCATTAGGAAGTGTGCAGAGAGGTTGATGGAAGCAAATTTTTATCATTTGATTTTACAAATGAAAAAAAAACATTTGTAACATAGCTTTTCAAAATGGTTTTCTAATTATGATGTAGCAGTAGAACATCTCATACAATCATAAAAAAATAAAATAAAATGTGACCTCAAATAATTAAATGACAGGCACAAGTAAAAACCTCAATCAATACTGAAGATGTTGTGTTGTTACAGCATCTGAGGCCTTTCCCCAACTTCAAATAAAGTCACAAAAAAGTGTATTAACATTGTGAAGAACACCCCTCTATCACTGCTTAGTATTTGGAATAACAAAAGGATGCTGATATTTTGAAGCATGTAAAGCCAATTGGAACACCAAGCTCTGCATCTTTGGGAAAAAGTAAATAAATACTAAATATCATCACCTACAAAATGTATGTATTTTTCACAACTATAATCTTATGGATGAGAACTCAAAAACAAAATAATGTAAAATTAATTAATTTTTTTTCCATGAGTTTCATGAGTTATCTTTGGATTTCTAGGGAAGTCACTTGTATTTTCATAATTATGCTTCGAAATTGGTATTACACTTCCAATACACTTTCTTACATTGTATCAAAACTTGGTGCCTTAGATTGCTCAAATTGCTTTAATGAGGTTCTTAGCAAGTCATGGCCTTTCAAATGTGGCCTTTCAATAACTTTTGAACTACAAAAAATAATATAGAAATTGTGGACTTTCTTGAAAAGTGGTGAATCTGTTTTGAGCCTAATCCAGAAATTAACTTTCTTTGGGTAACTTAGAAGAAGCAATGCTAATAAAGAACATAATTAAATGTTCAAAAATACTTTGGAGAGTCTTTGGTTAGACCTTAATCCTACTTCTGTAGGGGAACAAGAATTGGAAGTCAACAACATGAACAAATAATGAAAACAGATTTTAGATTTCAGCTTGGGAAGACAATATTAAATCTTTTTGGAGAATGCATTTTAGGAATCAAACAAAAAATTAACATAAAATAAAGTAAAATGCAAGATTAGTGGAACACATTAGCGAGTTTAGAGGCTCATGCAAACTTATGAAGTAATTTTTTACTTTGAAAATTTTAATTTTTAATTTTAATTTTAATTTTTTTCATTTTGTTTTTGTAATTTTTTAGTTGAACTTTTTGATAGATGCTTGTGGCATAATTCCACATGAACTCAATTATATGAATGTGAATGAATATAAATAATAAAATAAAGAAATAAATACCTAGTACGTACCTTATATTCATGAAGGAAAATAAGTATTACATTACAAAAAAATGATGGTTACTGTTGGCATCTTTCGAAGGGAGAAAAGCAATATGAGTTTATAAAGGTCCACAGAAGGTCATTTTGAAAAACTTTTAACACTCTGTGTTAACTATTGCTTTGATAAAGTTTTTTTTTTTAAAAATAAAAAATGAAGATAATATTATATGATATGTAGATGTGGATTAGATGCATGTAAGCAGGCAATTTCAGTCATAATTTACAAATCCAAGGTTTCTACCCACAGGTATTGGAAAATAAAAATATAATAAAATAACATACTCAAACCACACAATAAACTTTGGAAGATGTATAAAAAGTAGAAAACTTTAAACCTAATATATTTGTAGCTTGAAGAACAATATTTGTGCAACCAAAATTATAGCAAATGTGAATTTAAAGCTTGCAAAAAAATACTTATTAGAAGAGGCTAATTTTAAGGTACTAGTTAGTATAATTTGGTTCACTCAAAAATAGAAATTTAAATTGATATTGCATATGTAATGAAAGTTGTTAGTTGGTACACAACAAATGTTGACCAAAAAATATTGAGCAGTAGCTGAAAACATTTTTTGATCTTTAAAAGGCACATCAGATCATGTATCTCAGAAAAAAAATAGGATAAGAAAAAACTCTAAATGTTTGTTAAAATTTTAATTTGTATTCGAAAAAATCATTATATATATATATATATATATATATATATATACACACATACACATATACACACTTATATGAAACATCGAGCCTTGGATTTAAAACTCCAAAATTACCCCAGATTATTGAAGTTGAAATTCAAGCTAAGCAGCCCAATAAATCTAAAGTTACTGTTGCAAAGATATTTTAAAATAGTGTCATTAAAATAATTCTCCAGTTGTGTATGTATGTGTTTGGATAGCTATTTTTCAACAAAATTTCCTACCGTGCTTCGGAGTTGCTTGGTCCAACTGGGATGAATTCACATTGGATGCAAGTTTGGGGTCCATACGTAGCATGACGTCGGAGATGCTCTTACTAAGTTGGTAAAACAAATCCACTCACTGAATCAAGAATCCAAATACAATACAGAATTATTCAAAATTCAATGTTTAATATTTTGCTGCACCTTTGCCTTCAGTGCACAAATACCTCACCCTAACATTCTTCCAATTTTAAAAAAAACTTAACATTGGCAATTAAGAAATGTCTTTCTCCACTAATTGTAAGATGATGTGAAGCGATATCTGCTTCTCGCAGCTGTAATAAACGCGCAACTAATAAAAATAAGCCATTCACCTCAACCCAACCTGATACGGTAACATAAGGTTACCTCCTCCCCACTACCATCCCTGCAAAACACTGGCATCGAGATCATAGTGCGTGGGAAAATGTACCAAAAGTCAGTTGATGATCGTCTCCCAGATCCTCCATTCGGTCAAAGATGAGCATAGTACTACTTGCTACAACTCAAATATTGGAGTCAAGGCAACTCTTCATAAGCAATCTAAAAATTACGTATAAAACAGCCAGCAACAGTTCTTACACCTAATTCAAAAGGCAGTAAAGGCTGAAACCTTTAGATTACACGCCTGAGTGTAAGCAACTATAATTTTATTAACACTTCTGCAGCTACACACGGCACATAACCCTGAACCTGGGCACAATATGTACGGAAGGACGAAAACTGGAACCCAACGTCAAGAAGAGCACTCTCAAGTAATTACACCATCCAACCCCTAGGGACTTGTACACACACCTACAGCTCCACAGCAATGTTGTGACTAGTTGAATAGAGGGTGTGGGACGCCAATCGCATCGTAAAAATAGCCCGAATTTAGAAAATTGTATACTACCTCGTTGTGAGAGCCCGATCGCAGCAGCTCAAAGGTGAGCACACTGCACAATGAAGCATCTCCACTCGATGTCAACTAACGATACCCACTACAGTGATTCGCAACCTACATATGGTACCTGATTTGAGTGAACCTGAGGAACAAATTGACCGTAGCGCTTGATTAAAGTGGCAAATCTGGTTAAAAACCTCCTATGATAGCTGCGAAACCTGGCGATAAATCTGGACTACAAACTCAGCATATCCATTGGCCCCAGCAGTTCGATCCTCGAGTAAATTAGACAGCATAAAAGTTCCTTCTCTGGGTTGTTCCCCTTGCCTAACTACTGTACAAAGTTGATATACAGCTGGACAACTTTGTCGTAGTGCTTGCAAAACTGACATCAACCGTTTCGAGATTGCGGTCTCCTGTTCCACTACGGCAATCTGTATTCATATTGAACAGAAACAACGTCAAATCAAACCAGCTTAATGGCTTGCGTTAGAAGGGAGATGAACTAATTAGAGCCTCACTAGGGAGAAAATTGTCTGTCTGCTCGACAATTGCGGATAATATGTAGGTAGAGGATAGGAGAGAGGCCATGAAGCTAAGAACTGTGCACATTCCATTTACAACAACATATTCATAGCAGGTACTGATTAACGAAGCATGACCAAACCGCAATCTAAATACCGCTTAGCATATCAGACTGAGCCTTACCACTGACTCCAGGTCCGAAAGCAAAGGCTTTGGGTACACCACAAACAATAGTATAGGGGTAGGACCAACCTGGGAAGAATCAGCAGTGAATGCGACCTCAGGTCCGAGCAAATCTTTAACAAATTCTGTAGGCAAACCCTTCCCTAACCATAATACAAATCGCAACCCATCATTTAACAGAAACGCTCCACGTGGGTCCAGATTTCCAGAAGAAACTGCCAGAGGTGTAGGCAATCCCGCAAGACCATCAGCTTTCGGACCCTGAAGATGATAGGCAACATATGACGACAAGTCAGTTATTAGAATTTCATAAGTAATCCATATATCGAACTCAGCTCAATCAGCAAAAGATAATTAGTTTAGGTGTACCCATACTGCACCTAGTCGACATACAGAAAAGATAGCCATAACCGGAGCAAGAGTACCATTCAAATCATCCCTGTAACATAGCGGTCAAGCCAGGGAATCACCTGAATAAGGTACTCATCCAGACGAATAAGTGATGGATACAGCAACTTCAACAGTCTTGGTATGGACATGGTCATAATTTCGAATCCCATTGCTGATCTTTCATCAGGTGTGCAATCTCCAAAGCCCCCTCGAAGTGCTAAGCTTTTCAGTATAGCAAGAGTGTAAATCGGAAGCAGTTTCAGACTCTCTGGGTAGATCAGCCTGTTGCTGCTCCGATGTTGAACTGAGAGCAACTTACTGTACTCCCGCAAGCTTCGCACCAACCGTTGCTGGCAAGCTTGACGAGCATCTTCAAGTTTTGTTTGCAAAGTCTTCTCAACAGCTGCGCACACCAGAAAGCAGTCACATACAGTGAAAGTAATAACACGTGACTTGAAAACCACGACGATACAGGCAAACTAACTACCAGACAGGATTTAACTCAAGCCACAAAGAGGTTCGCAACAGGAAAACCGCCATCTCTTTCTTCGCTCGAGATCACTGGAGAACAAAGGACTGAAATTCGAATTTATACAATGTCGAGGATTTCTGTCTTTGAATTGATTTCAAACAATAGCTTAAAGAAGAGCATATACACTCACCAAGCCTGCTCATCAGAAATGTGATAGCATCTACATCAGCTGCTTTATATAGTTCCAAGAGATCCTTTACTACAGGAGTGGCCATGGTATGGACTCTTATCCTACGCTCTCCTATTGACGACGTGTATCTGTCGCATCATGAGTCAAGGCAACATACGGTAGGAAAGATAAATTCAAACCAATTATCGTTTATTTCCTTACTCACAGCTCAAGTCATAACCCACCTTCTACCACCCGAGTTCAGGATGATTACTCAAACACAATTCAACCATGAACTGCTTCACTTCACATTCCAAGTCGCGGTTGTAATGTGTGCGACCCAAAATTCCCAAGAAATGCAACAATAAGCACACATGGAACTGCTTAGGAACCACAGCGTGCCCGAAGCGCACAAGAGCACACGAAAGAAGTGTAAAGAATACAATAAAGTCAGACATGGTAAACAATCGGCACAATTGTACGGCAGGTGGATACAGCAGAGCAACTTGGAAGTAGATTGTCTGCAAGGGCAACACAGTGTCTTCAAGCTGCAGCTGCATAGCAAAAGCCTTGTCGCAATCCACAGCAGGAAGGGCCATAAGGTCTGCACTTCGTAGCATGAAGTGTCCGTGAAACGTTGAGAACCGCACTCCTGATCGACAGCACAAAGTACCGCTAAGAATCAAATATTAAAAGAATAATAATTACTGCACAACTAACAAATTATGCTCAAGCCTAATACCAGAATATAAGTCTAGAACGAGAAATAATATCTCGTGTCTTAAAGCAGAGCATTAAGCGGCAGTAAATCACAAACTCATGACATGTTTCAGATACCTTTTCCACATCGAATTCTCATCACAGCCTCCCATGCCGTTTCTCTTGAAAGATCTCGAGTAAGGTCATAGCTGAACTTCTCCCCATGAAACCGGGCCTGGAAGGCAGGATAGTAATACACTTGCCCTCCAGTGTATTTTGGGAGCACACCTGTCATACAAAAACTCAACAAAATTTCAATAACATATACAGATTGAGCAATTGTACTAATCATCATCGCGATGACATCCCAGTGATCACTTCTCAAAATACCGAACCGTGCCGTCCTTTTTAGGTTGAAACGTCAACGACCAGTAGAACCAGAGCATAAAATTAGAAATAAGCTCTAAGGATGATAATTGCGGGGACTCACCTAAAGAAGCTACATCTGCGTAACGTTCACCAAAAATATAGGTGTCCACAGCGATTTGGTACTTTGAAAAATCCGCAGCCATTTGTTTATAGAAGTGTTCCTCAGAGACACGAAGAAGACACTCTTTCTCGGTTCCATAAATGAGAGGATTATCACCTCGTAGTTTCAGCCTTCCAGAACCAAGGGAGGGTAAAGTACTCTGGAAAAGGAGCAATTTCCCTCCCAGCTGACTCTGCAGTATCGATTCCACCCCAAAGATCACTAATCTCCATGAACCAGTTACAAAACTAAACATCGAGGGCTTTATGTAAAATTTGAAAAAAAACTTCGACAATACGATACGATTGAGAAACATCCATAAACTCCACAAACACACAAACAAACAAACAAACAACACCATTAATTGCGACACGAACAACCACCCAGCATTTGGTGACTGAAACGTACCATGACCATGAAAGTCGCCTTTAGAGCTGGCCCAAGAGCTGACTCAATGGTGAGATTTTTCTCGAACATAGAAGGTAAACTATCAAGCAGGGCGTCCACAACGGTCCGTGACTCTGACAGATTTACCAGCAAATCGTCGGGAAGTGGTAAGAAAGGATCATCAAGGTCCGCAACCACCATCATTTGCGGTTGAGTTAATGAAGACTGCGATGTCCAATCAACAGACATAAATTAGTAATGAGGAAGAATGAAGATATCGCAATACAACTCTCTGCAAACTAGGGACAACAGACCTGCCACTAAAGCCGTATGACTAGGTCAGTCTGAACCAAAGTAGCATCATACATAAAACCGTGTTCAATACATCAAACTCTGAACATCTCCACACTCGTCGTACCAACTCAAGGCACTAAATAAGACCAACACAATTAAGTAACATTCTTTCAAAAACAAAATGTCATAGTATTGATTTACTTCTCGTTCGAACCCTTTCCAAATCGAATTCACAAACAAGACGCGGAAATAGTAACTCCCTTCTTGACATTAAAGAGCCATTTTCATTGCTCACCTTAAGATTGTAGAAATGCAGAGTGCTGTCAAACGTCACAAACCCAATCTGTGTCCTAGGAAACCCTGGTAGCTTGTCCAATGATGCTTTGATTGTCTCTGCAGCAACCTTCGCCAACCCGGCCATACTCGGTTCAACCCACCTTATTTCTCATCCACAGAATTTTGATTCGTACAGTTTCCGCACAAAGTGCTACATTAACCTTCTTCACATGAGGGAACATCAACAACATTACTTGTGACCATCACAAAAGTATTCTAAAACTAGTAATTTTATTATGGACGAAAGGACGAGGGACCGTTTACCTTGATCATCCCAGACTTCACAGCAGACAGGGAGACATCGATGAGGAAGAAGTACACGGGCGGCATCGGTGGCCGCACCATGTACTCAGTTGGAGCGACAAACTCCACACTACCACGAGAAAGCTCTGGCCTTTCATCTGCATCTCGCCGCCGTCCGTTCTCATCCAGAGGACAATAGTAGTCCACAGGAACTGCAATCAAATTCATTATCTTTGGTAAACACGCGAGCGTTCGCTAAAGATATTGAACCGCTTCTCAATTGCCACAAATCCTGAACAAGTCAGGCTAAAAGTCCACCTGCAACTCGACGGCAGAAAATTCTACTCCTGTCCACTCGCTTTCAGACTGATGAAAATCGCTAATTACTTCAAACCCACCTTCATTTAGCAGTGAACACACGTTGCAACGCCACCGACGCCCCCCGTCCGTAAACATGACAAATGCATTAATGTATGTACGACAGCGTCGACACCTCACTATAGTACCTACAAAATTCACCACAGGAACCTCCTCCTACAGCGAAATAAGTGGAACAATCGGTAAGCATACATTGCCATAGCCACATCAGATACCACAACTCATGAAAACGAAAATGTGAAACTACGTAACATGATAATCTACTCATTGCAATGGAATAGCAAATGCTTCACTGTCCTGATACAACACTAAAGTAACCATCATTCCAATAAATCGTATATTTTAATCACAAAAGCAGCATGAAAAAACGAGTGCAGATAGCTCACAAAGTATATGCAAATATGAAAGATCAATCATCACTAATTGGTGGCATAGAGTTCCAGTAGCGTACCCCGGGTGGTGCCTCCGCGAGGGGGTGAACGACAGCTCCCAGAGGCAAGTACCATCGAGACGCTAAAGACTGAGCATTAGGCATGGCATTGGTTGTAAGACGCAAGTATCGAGGATGACAATTCAGGTTCCCACTTGGTTTTACTTCCTCCGCTCCGTCAAGCGGTCTTGGAAGTGTGGCTGGGTCTACGGTGATGTCTGGTGATCCAAGTACCGATACCAAAGCAAGCGATTGAAAATCTTCGACTAAACCTTGTGCTTGAGGGTAATTTCCACCATACGAGCTTGCTGGTGGTGGGTGGCTGTACTTACCCACTTGCCCATCACTGTACTGCCCTGGTATCGGCGGAGGAGGTGGTCCACCGTAAAAGCCTTGTGACAAGGGAGGAGCTCCATATTGAGGAAGATTCAAAGAAGAAAACTGAGGAGGTTGTGGAATAGTCGATGAAGACTTCGGCGACTGGGGCATGGAATTGTATTGTTGTCCCTCCGATACTGACTGCTGTGATGGCGATCCAAACTGAACACCTGGAGGTGGAAGAGCCTGTGAGGGGTTGCTGAACGTGGGCCTGCCGCCTGAAGGTGGAGGGAAAACTCCGGAGGGTGGTGGAGGGCCAGGATATGCAGGGAATCTAGTTGGAGAACCATACCCTGGCCCCTGAGCGGGTCCTCCAACACCACCAGCTGAACCAGAGCGAGGACTCCCCTGAGAGTTTTCTTGACCAGATAGAGCCACAGATGCTAAATTTGATGGTGAAAATGAAGAGGGAGGTAGAAAAGCACCTGAAGGACCTGCCATGGGCAGACCTCCAGGAGGCGGAGGCCTGGCAAATCGTGGAGGGGATGGACCAGACACGGGGGGTGCAGTTTGGGATGGCTGAAAACCGGCGGGGGGGCCTCCTGGAGGGTAAGCTGATGGAGGTCCAGCCAATAAAGGATTCTGACGTGCATCTGCTAGGATTTTAGGTGGTCCGGGAGGTTGGCCTGGAACATGTGGTCGGAACTGAGGACCAGGAGGACCAGGAGGACCACGTTGCCATGGCAGTGGTCCAGATCCAGGTCCAGGTATTGAACCTGCATGAACAACAGGAAATCATACTGATCAAGAAAAAACTGACGAAACTAGGAAGGTGTCGGGAAGGAATTGCAACCAGCAATCTGTTAGAATTGAACGCGATTTACAGTAGATGATGCAACTATGTAGAGAGAAAAAAAAAATAA